TTTTTGAATGATGTGAGATTCCATAGGTGGTTCTTGCTTTATTTATGTGGTCGGTAAACTTAATATTGTCCTCCAGCAATTGGTCATCCACCATGCTTCTTTCTAAGTCTTCTAAAACCTTAGTCCGCGCATCACTCACTTGTAATTCAGTTTTAATTTCAAATTCCTTCTCTTTCATTTGAAGACTTAACTTTGCTTCTTCTAATTTTCTTTGCTCCTTTAGAGCTGATGCTCTTGCTAATAGTTCTGCCTTTCTTTGATTTTCTTTCATTTTAGCAATCGATAAGTTACTCGAAATACTTGAATGTCTACTTGATGATCTAGAGCTGCCACTATGATGAGATTTTGTTTCTAATTGTTCACTTGTTTCGGGTACACTACAGTTTTTCAGAAACCATTGTTCTGCCTCATGCTTTACATATGCATAGTCGCTGGTTATATTTTCAAATTGACTATTATCATCGTGCAATTCTGTTTCATTCAATAATTTTTTATACTGTTCATGTGCTATAAGCAACTGTTCATAATTGTTCAACCAGCTTGAGTACACACCTTTTACAGTTTGTTTATCACTTGTTTCATGTTGTAATAACCCTTTCAACTCTTCAGTTTTTGTATTAAGTGTCTCTATCATTCGTAGCCTTGCTTTTGATTTTATTTCTTTATTGTACTCTAATCCCTTCATGGTCAAAGTCCTTTTCCTTTCAGTTTCTACCTCGAGTTCTCCTTCCATTGGATCTTTCCCATCCATGGTTTCAAATTTGTTAATGATGTACTGACAATACAACTCGTTTGTTGATGCGTATCCCAGAGAGGTTTATTGATACGATTAACTGAAAATACATACATATGTTATACAGTACAAAGATATTATTATTATGCAATACAAAGATATTATTATTATGCAATAAAAAGATATTATTATCATTTGACTAGATTTACAAAATTATAAGAAGATAAGACTACAAGTGAGAGTTGCTAATTATTGTCCAAATTAATTTTAACAGAATAAAGAAACTGATTTAAAAGAAACATTTGTCACTTATATTTACTTAGCTTTGTTTAATAACAATATTCTAATCACCTTAAACTTGTCGTAAACAAAACAAAACTTCTTTAACACGTATTCTAGAAATGTCTCAAATTCAACAATATATGATACGTAAATACGTTTAACTAGCAAACAATCAGAATCTGCAGACAAGGGAAGAAACTCCGTATGACTGCCAAAGAAATCAATCAATATCACGTTAAATCCACAGACAACCGTACTGACATTAAGTATGCGTATTCTACATAAATACTCAAATTGATCCCTACCAAATTTGAAGTATGACGCAGTATTCTCAGTACAGAAAACAACAAAATATCTGGAAATTCATTTTCCCTCTAGAAAAGAAAATACTCTCTAAAAAGGAGATTCCCCCATTCGTCCCCAAACACCCTCGTAATACACGAACATTCGCCACACCAAACCGCTACAAACGGCGGTTACAATAGTTGTTACAGCATTTCGTTAAAATGCGCCCATTTTGTGCCCTACGTGAAAAAGTATATGAATAAAAAAATAATTAAAGTAATTATAATAAAACAATTATTAAATAAAAAGAAAAAAAATAAGTTATTAAAATAAATAAATAAATAAAAAATACATAAATTATTGATTTAATTTAAGTGATTGAAATGTGATAAAAACATCAAATGGTTAAAATGTAATAAATATGCGGTTTATCAATATTATTTATATATGCAATGATGTAATTGATTGGTGTCATGAAAATCTATTGCTTTAATGCTGAATACATATCATAATTGTAAAACCCGGTTCACAAAGAATTCAAAGCTCATTCAACCAAAGTTTTATATCAAAAGATTTGTATGGTAATATGACACATCTTCAACTGTTAATAATTTTGAAATAATATTCAAGATTATGCGGACATTCAACAGATAACTGTTTGCCATGCATGCATGTTCCAAAAGTGCCAATTCGATGTTCTAAAATATCTTTACTTAAAGAAGTCGCAAATCTTATAAGCTATCATTCCAAGCTAATCGTACAATCTCTTATAATGAAAAAAAAATCTAAAACAGATGATGGGTATATTCTACGACAATGATATGATATAGAAAAACGAATTTTCAAATACTTATATGGAAAGTTTCGTTTTCTTACATGTACTCTCATTAAAAGAAGGTGTTTGCGAAATTATGAAGCTGCGGTATTATATATAAAAAAAAAAACAAAAAACAGATTTTGTTTACAAATGTAAGCTTCCAGCGTGTGCGTGTGATATCATATTTTAAATCATTACTGGATTATACTTTATAGATTGGGCCTCGTTATCAATCCCCGAGACGAAATAATAACAGATCACTACTATCTACCCTCGATTCTGTTTTCCAAGTCAAAGAAAAATCAAGTTAATATTAAACCCTATTAAGCTTTGTTTTCATTTACCGCAACAAAAATCCATCGAAATTCAATTTTATAATCGATATTTAAATGCTTTCAATTGGTGTTGTGAAATAAAGAAGTCACCAGAAAACATTGTTCAGTACAATACTACTTCAATCTATTGAACTCTGTATGGAAACAGAAATCCTATCAAAATATTCAATGTGTGCATTCCCATATATAATATCTTACTACACATTTTATGTTATTTTATGTTTCCTTCACCTACACAATTCAGTTAAAGTGTTGTTTTTATTATACTGTCACAACATAGCTACATGTAAAATATACCGAAAACGATAATTAGAAATTGAGTTACAACATAGATTCGATATCCGGCAAATACGTCGTAATAAGGATATCAAAATATTTATCTCATTTCCGTGTTTTGTTTGTTTTGGTGAGAATTTAATTTTGATTCTCTCTTATTTTCTATTCAGATAGGATTTAAACGCAGTGTTAAGTAGTTAAATACAGTTTAAGAATCTGTAAAGTTAATAACTGATTATAGGATTAAAAGCTTTGAATTTGTCATTTCATGAAGTTTCTAGTTTATTTATTGCGATTTCTTCTATTAAGAACTTTTTCATTGGTATAATGTAATTTATAAAAATAGATAATATTTTATGTAATTTAGCAGTTAAACCGACAAAGCAACCTAGACATGGCGCATATATGGGTATAGGAAGGCATCAATTCCAAGTCATGAGCAAGTTGTAACTACTGGTATGATACTTAAATATTTTATTTTCTGTCTTAATAATTATATTTGTTACATAGATTCCAGCATTTTATGAAAACAAAATAACTAATACATTTATCAGAGTAAATATCCAAATAAAACATACAAATTTAGGTGGTGAAAATATCTAGAAGCTTAAATAGTTGTGTCTATTATTAAAACAACTTTAATTTGGTGAAGAAAATAAGCTCGAGAAAAAAGAAAAACAAAAACAACATTATCCCCAAAAAAGATTATTTTTACATTCTGAATTAGTCTGTTTTTGAAAAACTGGATTAGTGTCATTTCTGTACGTTATGAGTTATAAAGTAGGTACACGTTACGTAATCTGAATGCACTTTGTGTTTAAATTTCAGTTTTATGCATTGGAAATTTGTTTCGAAATATGGAAGAAATAAATAAACCAAGAAACAAATTATCTGAATTAGAAAATTAAAAAAAAATACTTAAGTTCTTGATTATGTCTAATGAATATTTTTTTTATAGTTTTTTTTCCCGAAATTGTTCTACATTTTGATATCAACGATATCAATGATTTATTCAAGCACGATCCGGATTTTTTAATGTTGAACATAGAAGGACCGAAAGTGTGTGTTATTTCATATTCTAACACGACCCAGACTTTTCCATATTGAACATAGAAGGCCAAAAAGCGATAAAATCACCAATTTGGATATATTATTTCGATTCTAACACGACCTTAATAAATAAATGCTGTCATACTTGATATTTAGCTAAATTGCGCCTGATTTGTTTCGGTACTTATTTCAACACGTCGAATTTTTAGTGGTTACGTCACTTGTATATAATGATTACGTAACATATCTAAATATAGAACGTCAACAGTGATTTTATTGCATATTAACAATTTTACACACACTTTCGGTTCTTCTATGTTCAAATGGGGAAAATATGGGTCGTGTTATAATAATCGATAAAAGTACTGTTTGGGATATACCATTTTAAATGAAATCACAGCTGACGTACTATATTTAGACATGTGACGTAACCATTAAAGACAAAACGCGCTGAAAAAGTACGGAAACAAATAAGGAACAATCAAGCAGGATATCAGGGACGGCAGCTGTTATGTTTATCAATCGATAAAAGCACTGTTTGTCGTTCAGATGCGCATCATGATATCACGCAGGCTAGGTCCTCGTGATATAATTCCTCGCAACCAAACTCCAAATCCTGATTTTATTTTAGCGATAAAATCACTGTTTTGAATATAATTTCCTAATTATAAATCGATCAAAATCATCATTACACAATGTTTTCCACTATGACACATTGAATACGTAACAAATCAAGACGAATCCTGGTTTAAGGGGAAATAACTTTATCAAAAAGTAATTCGAATGTTGATAAACTGCTGATCATCAAACGCACAGGATTTGAATTTATTTAACTATTCTTACTTTTTATCAAAAATGTACATTCAATTATGGCCAGTTTAAATATTTCTTTAACTTGAAAATATCAAATATAGTCGGCCGCTTCGATTCAACGATTCGTTTCCTGTTGAGAAGAATCTCAATTTAGACTTTCGGAAAAAATATTATATTGTAAGTTACACCTTACTCATTGTTACCGCTGTCAAGCTTAAACAAATATCAGTTCATTACAACACAAAGTAAAACTGATAAAATCCCCCCCCCCAATCATATTATCACTCAACTTGTAAAGTAAGATAGGAAACTTCCGTGAGTCATAACGATGTTTATAAAAAGTTTATCATTATTATTTATTTTAATCTTAAATAATGATAATGACGAGGAAATTTAATTAGTGCACCAAATGATTAATTTTAACTTTTGCATTATCACCAAAAAAATATGATGTTTAAGATGTAATACAACACGGAATTTAAGTTAAGTTCACAAGGGTCAGTAATGCACAATATATTCACCAATAATTTCCCTCTTCCTTATTAAATTTTGTTTGATTTTAGTCATCATTTTACTGGAGTGCCAGACAAAATTATTTGATGACATTTGAGAAAATATTGCCAATTTATTTTTATTCAATGCTTTGATTTAAAATATCAGCGGTTGTAAAAGGTATAATTTTGTATTTTTATCGAAATTGCTAAACTAGTTTGTTGACATTGATTTTCCACGTGTTTAATTAGATAAAATGTGTATCGAGTGTGCAAAAGGCGTTGCATTCCTTGTGTTTATTTATAGAATAGAGGGGTACATTTGCCGTTATTTTTTAAATAAAAAAATGCTTATATTTTTCAATTATTGATGGAATGTAAATTTATTTATAGTATAGAGGGGTACATTTGCCGTTATTTTTTAATTATTTGCTTATAGAATGTCAATTTTATGGGCTATTGCGAAAGCTTGGCAAGAAATAAGATTTCAGAACATTTTTAGAAGCCGATATAACCTTCATAACCCGTCTATTCCAATTTCATAGGCCTAATAAGTTTCGATGTCCATGCAAATGTGTCAAAATATTGATAGATGCTTTTAAAGAACTTCAATAAAATTAACTTTCAAAAAAATACATAAAGCTAACTTTGAATTTGATGCCGTTTTATAGAAATATTTAAAGAACGAATTTGTGGGAATTTACAGGAAAATACCACATCACTCGTTGTAATTGTTTTAAGACGGTGCCTATAAATCAATATACATTTTGTAGACAGTCGTTTGTATTTTTTACAAGACAAAAATTCTTAAAAGCTAAACAAATACTTTCAAAAACGAACAGTTTCGGACCAATGTCAAATTGCTGCATCACATGTGTAATCGGGCAAGGCGTCTATAGTGCAAGACCTTGCTACTTGCGACATTGTATTGTTTCCATTGTTTATAACGGTGTTTCAGTTATAATTATAGCGGCGGGCAGTAACTGCCACTTTCCCAAGAATCAGAGGTAAAGTAACAATTATTTCATATTCTAACAATATTTCATTTAAAGGCGTAATGACGAACATGTACTTCAAACAATGCACCTTAACAATTACTTATCAAAATAAACGAGTAGGCTTAGCTTTTTATAAGTGTTTAATATTAAATAAGGTCAAGGAATTATACAATTTCACTAATGTATAGGTTACATATAAATCGTAGTAATTGCATATATTAAAAACAATAATTCCGCTAGCGTTATCGTGCGCCCGAACGGTAATTTCAAGATGAATCCAATGCGGCATTCACAATTTAGATGTTGCCAAATTTACTCTTTGATTATAAGACTAAATGCATACTCTGGTCTCCCTTTTTTCAGGATAAGTCATTTTTTTTTGTAAACACCGACTAATATGCAAATTAGCAAATT